CGGGTCCACCAGACAGGGACGGGGACAGCCTTGTCGAGCCCTGATGCGCACTGAGTTCACGCATCCAGCCTCTGGCAAGCGATAGCTTGAGACGAGATCCAAAGCGCATCTTAGCGTTTTCGAGCTGTTTTAGGCACTTAGAGTAATATAACATATTGGGTGCGTGACAAGAGCCACAGGACGCGCGCGCGTACATGAACTGCTTCCACAACCGTCACTCGTCTGAACAGTTTTGCCTTCGTTGGATTCGCTGGGTGCTGGTGCTAACAAAATAGAGCAACCTGACATTCAGTTCACCCTTTTCTCGCAGAGGACTGAAGCGGACTTTTGTCACTTGCGGGTCATCGTTGGCACTCCTGTGTCGTCCTCTTCTTGCCAATATAGCTAATCCAGTTTTGCTTGCAGCTTCTTCTCCCCCAGATTGAGAGCAGTATCTCAAGATCTTGGTTTCTGCACAAGCAAGAATGCAAAGCCATAAAACCTAAATGAACCCCAAACCCCATTTCTGGCATGCAGAAAAGACGACTCGAGGCTCGCACGGTTGCTTCGCAAACGATCTCGGCCTGCAGCGATTGCATTTCCGGCTGCCGGAAAAAAGCGGGGACGCGCCTTGAAACCTCGCCACGCCACCGGGTTCTACTGTACGACAGTTCCGGAAAAGTGGTGGCGATAGTCTGTTTGAGAGGTCACAGAACAAGGGTTTCAATTGCTGTAGTCTTGTGCTGTGTGCTACATGTGCATGCTGCCGATCTTAAATGTGCGGAAGCACGAGAGTGCTGGAGCGGTTTTGAATTGAATGCTGAAACTGCTTTATGTCAGTCTCTGTTTCAATGTATCCGCCATGCCACCATAAGTTGGCATTATGAGCCCCTTGATTGCTTGGCTAGTCAACACTCGTCTATCTCACAGATGCCCACCACCCTGAACTCGACATGGGCCTTTGCTTGAAGGCTGAGTTCCGGAAAGCCTTGTAGAAGTGTGTAGGTATCATGGGCTGTCACAGTGAACGGTCTTACCTTACAACCATGGCCCGAGCACCACTAGGACACTAGGACACCAAGAATATAGCAATGACATCCTCAGTAGCTCTTATAGGCGTCGTGTCGTAGTAGTGCACAGGACTTCCAAATCATCAGCTTATAGGCAAGTCAGTAGATGCCGTGCATCTATCAGGGCAATCTGAGTGCCTCAGAGTTGCGGCATGAATGAACGTGGCAGCCGAAAGGCGAGCAGCCCAGACTATGCCTTCGTGCCTTGCAGGGAGGGTTGTTATTACATAGGAGTGATCTTTAAACTCTATACACCGACTCTACTATTTCATTCGAGGTTCGCAGCAGGAAAGCTCGAATCTGAACCCAAGCTCCAAGCCGGCGAAACATGTGAAGCTTGCAGCCCAGGGTCTTGAGAGTTTCATCGGGGCCTTAGGACTTCTGGTGCATTCAAGGCCCACGCAGCAATGATCTAACTTTGCAGTGGAGTCATTGGAGGTCTGCAGACGTGGCACATGCGCTTCAGCTAAGTGTTCGGTTGCTGGGTGTTGGCCATTGACCGCAGACCTGATACCGGTATCATCCTTGAAATAGTTCTTGTACTGGCAGCTTCTTTGTCGGAGACGTCTTATCGGATTTTTCTGAGACCCTGCTCACCCTCCGTGGTTTTGTGGAGACTGTCAAGCCTCAGGTCCGTTCGGGATGTTTCAGAGTCACTCCGGTGCAGGGCGTCGGACTTTAGCAGAACTGCCAAGTAGACCTGGGGGTTTCCGAAAATAGGGGACCCTAATATAGTACCCTAAATAATTAATAGGATCCTCATTATAAGGACTCCCAAATAGGGTACCCTAATTTTTGGAAACTCCCAGCCAGGTCGGTCTGAAGGCGCTACTCCATGATCTCCGGAGGCACTTGGGAGTTTCAAAAAATTAGGGTACCTTACTATGGGGTTCTTATAATAAGGATCCTACTATTTAGGGTACTATATTAGGGCCCCCTATTTTCGGAAACCCCCACTTCAGTTTCCAGGATCAGCGAAAGCTACGCAGTTTGGAATTGATGCATTGACTTTGCCTTGATTTTATCCTAATCACCGCCATCATCGTTATCACCATCATCATTATCGTCATCGTGACCACCATCATCATCGTAATTTGTCGATGTTGCTCTCCAGTGAGTCTACCCATTGTGGTCGTTGAGCTCGCGCTGCTAGTGGGGATCTACGCTGCCTTGACATATCAGAAGCAGCCAATTCGACAGTGCATGGCAAGATGTTGCGTTTAGTCGTTTGTTGCAGCCGCCCCAGTGGGAATGGGAATACAACCTGGGATGAGACAGTCGCTTGCATTGCAACAAGCTCTACAGAAGCATGTCATGAGCACTTTCCAAGAATGAACAGCAGTCTTCGATAATGGTCCCTGTCTCATGCTTCCATGGTTCATCTGCTGGAGTCACAAAGCCTTGAAGGCATTCCAGAACTCCCACACGGTTGGGTGTGCCGCTGAGGTGCTGCATGGTTTGTTCTCCTTTCTTTTGCAATCTGCGTGCGTGCGCTGGTTGGTGTGTCAGTGTGCTATATATGTATATATATATATATAATATGTATGAATGTATGCATGTCCTCTCTATGTAAAAGTATAACATACTCACATGCACATACGCATCTACCAGTCTTTCTTGTTTTTTTCTCTGTCTCTTTCTCTCTCTCTCTCTCTGTCTTTCTGGATCGCGGCATGCCTCTGTCTTCTTGTTATGACATGTCATTTTCCACGTGCTTTGAAGCTTTCCGCGGCCCACAGCCGCCATAGCCTCTCGCCGCGCGAGCGGCAAGGATCCACGAGTCAGTGCAAGTGTGGCCTGGGCCAGCTGTTTCTCCACAGCCATGCCATAGAAGCTTAAATTAGGTTTAGGGGTTTAGGGTTTAGGGTTTTTTAGGGTTTGGGGTTTAGGGTTTAGGGTTTAGGGTTTAGTGACCAATGTTACTCTTAGGGCTCCTTGTTGTAGTTAACTATGCGATAAGGCACCATGTAATGCGGAGGCCCATTTAACAATCTCTCTCCGCGACCATTTCCGGAGGGCCTGATTAATGTGTTGTCCGTGATGCCCTGGACCTCGGTTCGGTACATTGCGGGCTTGGGTTGGCTTGGGGTCTGGGTGGCTGTGAGGGGAATACAGTAGGGAGGTCCGAGAGGTTTAGGGCTGGCTTGGGCTGGGTGGCTTAAGTGGGAGGGTTTAGGGGGGTCTAGGGTTTAGGGTTAAGGGGGTTGAGATGAGGGTTAAGGGGGATTTAGGGTTTAAGCTTAAGGGGGGTTTCGGGTTTAGGGAGAGCTTCGGGTTTCAGGGCCAGGGTTTTAGGGTTTGGAGGGGGGCTTAGGTCGGGCTTCAAAGAATAATATTGTCGCTGCAGTAAGATTGACCACTAGCAGAACAGAAGCACACAACAAAAACATCAGCCGGCCCCAAAAACAATGCATCAAAGAGACCGCCACATTTTTTGATAACGGCTTGAATAAGCCCGGCCCAAAAGGCATTATAGAGGCCCACTCGTCTAAAGGGACCGCCACATTATGGCACATCGACTTTGCAGCCCACCCCGTGGCGCATGAGCTGAGGCCCCGACCCTTTTGGAGCCCGTGGCACTGCCTGCAGTCGGGACCTTGGGAAATCGCAGTCGCGTACACGAGCTGCTGTGGCTACGATGCCTCTGATTCCTCCTTTCTGAGACTCTTGGCACGTGACTCATAGACGAAAGTCCTGAAGCCGGCCAAAGGCGCAAGAAAATGTCTTCGCCCAAGGCCCTCAAACACTATGCGACACCAGAGCCAGGCCTTCAGGTGGCACGCATCTTGCGTGGTTTCTTGCACTTAGTCTCTTTGTCGCGTTTAGGTCTTTGTGTGTTGTGCACTGGGTCCGGCAGGACATGTCAAGGGTATGGCGGCTTTCTCCACGTCTGCGTAACGTATTCGTGCTCAGACGTGGTACTGCTGATGATTCAGTGCTGTTCGTGTTGTTGCGTAAATATGGTCCTATGGTGGTTTCCGGTGAGAGGAAGTGCTTGAGGGTCATGGCCATGACAACGCTTTTGCTGGATGGCGAAACCTGGGCTGAGGGAGGCGATGAATGCGATGTTTTGCAATTGCCCCTCTTCCTGCGGGAGTGTTGTTGTGGCTGCTTCTGTTGGTCCTGGTGGTAGCGATGGCGGTGGAGGTGTCCCGTCTCGTCTTGCTTTGTTGGGTTCATGGTTGACAATGCTCAGCGTGAAGATGTTCTTGGTGGTGTTGCTGCTCATGATGTTTCACAGAGACGAAACAGCCTGGATCTCGAGACGAACTTATACATGATCCTCGGATCCTCGGGTTTTGCAGAGGATGGGTCTGTCCTGTATAAAAGCGAGGATAAGCGAGGTACCCCCCGAATCCGAAAATCGTCTGGGAGGCGTCGTACGACCGACCGGACAACATCGAGGACACTCGTCACGCCCCCAGACACGAGGGGTTATTGGATGTCTTGGCCAGGGACTCCGCAACGGCTTCATGCATAAAGCCCTCGTCGATGTCCTGCCTCTCAGCCTCTTCACATCTTTTTGTAGTTTTGCCGGACCACTCTAGAATTTATAGGACACGCCCATGAATCTACGCTGGGATCCCATACAAAGCCGGAGAGTTTAAAGCACCATACCCCTGTCCTGAATGGAATGTGCCACAAGCATACCTGTGCCAAGCTTTTCTTCCGATGGAGCCGTCAGCAACTTAGCGACTTGCTGCAGCTTTTTTAACACTCAGCCGACCGAGTCGACAAGCCCACGAGTCACTGTCACTAGACCAACTTCACTTTTCGATCTGTCCCACCAGCTTCAGTATGTTGCAGATCCCTGTGTGCCGCCTGCTATGGCCGGCCCTGCAAGCAGTTTCTGTTTTACAAGCTTCCTTGTAGTGCCATATCCATGCGAGCCAGCCGACCTACGATGTTCACTATAGCACCTGCAGGCTGATTTTCCCACGCGCCACAGCCATGGCGGCTGAGTACTATGCCAGCTCTTATCGTGAATTCAAAGAGATGGGCATGGATGAGGCGCGCGGGTGCAAGGAAGGCTCTACGTCCTGCTTGCCCACATCCAGAAATGCAGCATCGAGCAAGCCCAATAGTAGGATTAGATGGCGATGGCATTGTGTAGCATTTTGCTTCCGATCAAGGAATCCCTACCGAAGAACCCTAAACCCTAAACCCTAAACCCTAAACCCTAAACCGAAGCAAGAAAACTAAGCCCTGGAGTTGGCCGTGTCCGTCCTGAAAGAGGGCCTGCAAGCGCATCCCTTGGACGAGGCGCGGTTTCTTTGGGGTTCCAGGGGTTCTGGGTTAAGTCCCGTCTCATGGCGACAGTTTGAGGTTTGGAGGTCTCAATATAAGTCTAGGGTCTCAGGCTACTGAGACAAGCAGGATCCTGGTTTAGCCGTTGCCCGTTTTATTCGGGCGTGCCAGCGATGCTAAGACTGCGAGGTCTGGAGGCCCGGGTGCGCTGGGGTATGCGCATCACTAAGTGTTGCCGGGTGAGAAAGACTCCAAGGTATGCCCTGACAGATTTGGAAGATTTCACTATGCTGCGGATGCTGCCTGCTTCAAATCCAAAAAGCACTGCCACTGCTGCTTTCCTTGCTTCTCCTTCTGCTGCTTTCTTCTACTGGCTGAAATCTTCCTAGCATCAGGGCCTGGCCGAGCTTCGCCGCGAGAGTGGTCTCGGAGACGAGGCGGAGGGGGTCGGAGGACCTGTCGTTCATTCTTAGATTTCGAGCCAGGGCTGAGGATGTGGAGAGCCCATGGGACTTGAGGGATCCGAGGCACAGGGTGGACCCAGAAGACTCCTCCACTCCGAAGGTGCGGCTCCCGGCTAAGGCACCGACAGAGCAGATCACGCAGCTGGGCCGGATGATTAGGGCTGCGGTGTTGCCGACCTTGGTTTGCTCGACGGTGGGGACTTAGAAGGCTGCACCAGTCCAGGCATTCATTTGCATTACACGGTCTTGGAGGCCTCGATTGCTTTGGGCAGTAGGAAGCTTTCGTTGCAAAGTCCATCAAGATGTTGTCGAGCCTAGATTCCAGCATAGGGAGGCAGAAGCTCGGCAGAGAAGACCTGATGCAAGGTAAGCTAAGGGAAATCTCAGCGGCTACAAGTTGCAAGTTGCTGTGTAGAGCTGCTCAGCACCCAGAATTTGAGGTTGGAACAGCTTCTGACTGGCTCCATCACCACGCCGCCCGGCTGTGTTCCAAATTCCGGGTCGTTAGCTCCCCCGCCCCCGCCCAAAGTGCTTTGGCCGGGTCACATTTGACACGACCCCGATGATTTTATGCTTCCCTGGGACTGGCCGCCTTCTTCTCTTTACAGTGCTGTAGGCTTCTATGCACACGGCCCAAGGATGAAGCCGCAGATGCAGAGACCCGCCGAAGAGGACGAGATAGCGCCCACAGAGTTCAAGGATCCAGAGATGAAGCTCTCATGAACTTTCGCAACGGCGCTGCGCGCCTCCGCCTCACCCGGGCCCGGAAAACTTCGACACCCGACTCTTACCACATTTCCGTTGCCGGATCTGGCCAAGGCTGCTGGCATACTGCTGCATTCTTGTCTTCTCAGTCACCGGCAGATGCGGAAACCCGGCCCGTCGGGTATTCGGAACCTATCGGCATCTCCCGGTGATGCTCGGGGGGGGGGGACGCCCAGTCACTCGAGAGCCTGTTCGACAGACATCGCAAGCTTGGCCCAAGCCTGGGCTAAGAGAAAAGCTCTCACCACCGGCACGAGAAGTCAATTCATGCTTTGATGTTGAGCGCTTCCTGCCCCGCCGTGGCTCCATGAAGAATAGTAAGCTGGGCTCCTGGCAAGGTGTGAGCTGACATGATGGCTGAAGTTTGCCAGCTTCATACCCTCTTGACGTGCCTTTCGAAACCCTGCAAACTAAACGGCTAAACCCAAGACGCTCAACAACTAAAGACAACCACAACATCGTAGCTCCGAGGAATGGAGACGAATTCTGGTCAGCCCTGCGCAGCCAGAAGTTGAAGGCCATGTCCATGGCCATAGTCGAGAAGCCTGCTGACGTCAACCATTGCTACCACTACTCTTGAGGGCTCCTTAATCGGGATTTTACAAAACACAACCCGAAACTCTATTGTATTCATGAAGGCCCCTATAGATTTCGTGTTTGAGAAATGGGGGGCACTTCTTGTGATTGGCATTGCTGCTTGCGACTATCAAATCCGTTGCAGGTAGTGCAGCTCTGTTCGTTTCCTCAGGCAAGGCTAAGCTAAACAGGCAGACAGGGCCGGTTCTTCTTCTGCAGTCTTCCAGTATCCGTGAAAGGCTTCGTGAAGAAGGTGCTAAGTGTCACCGGGATTTACCCACGTATGCTTGGTGGCTTTCGCTGGAACTGTGTTCCACTTTGGGATGAACTCCACGCCGCACGCGTTTGGCGTGCACTTCAGGAATTGACAAGCTGACCGTTCCATCACCTGTCCATGAGGCGCTGCTGCTGGAACGGGGTGGGCTCATCCGAGTGTCCGCTCCTTCGATCGAACGTGGCATGTTTTTAGGGTTTAGCATTGCGGTTCGTCGAAAGTCTCTTATGCCACGAACGGCCGCCCATTTGATTTCAGCATGGCTTAAGTCAGGAGGTCATGACTCGATGCCTCCGCTGCTGCACGGTGTTCAGTTCTCCGGCAAGCCAGCTACAGCTCAGGACTTCCTTCCGAAGGAGCTTGCAGAGAAGACCTTCGCCACCATGCGACTTGTCCCGTGGATGCCTCTCAAGCCTTAAGCCCACTCATTAGATCCGGAGCAGACAGATCTATGGCAAAGTCAAGCCGCTAGTAGTGCGAACATGGGCTTCTTGGGACCGGCCGCTGGCATGGGAATCCATGCCCTGCAAAGAATAAGAAGTGTGATCGCCGCGACTACAACTATCACTACTGGAGTTATAATGCAAGTGTTGCTACTGTTAAAGTTACTAAACCGACTCCTACGACTACAGCTAACTACGCCTACCACAACGACAACTACTACTGCCATTCTTGCTACTACCAGTACTCCTCCTCCTACTGCTGCTACTAC